AGTGTCAGAAAAGATGGGGGATAAAGAGTACATAACAGTCAATAGGCCTCTTGCAGAACCTATTTATAATAAGGGAAGAAGTGCAGATGGGAATTTTTGAATGTATTTAAATAACGTGTCAACAACAAGATTACCATTGGAATACGAGAGATCCCATATAATAAATGCAATACGAAATAATTTGCTAGTATGTTTTCCAACGGAAACATTATATGCTCTTGCCTGCAATGCATTAAGTAGTAAAGCAATACAAAAAATATACCAGATAAAAAAACGTCCTCAAAACAAGCCCTTATCTATATTTGTTAAAGATGTCAATGTCTTGAAAAAAATGGCAATAGTTAAAGAAAAATATGTTGATTTGGTGAACTACTTTTCTCCCGGACCAGTTACTTATGTTTTGCCACTTAGAAATAGTAACATGTTACCAAGTGAGTTTTTTAAGACAAGTGTAGGTATAAGAATTCCTAATCATCCGATTGCAGTTTCAATGTTAAACAAGCTAGAAATGCCTATAATTGCAACAAGCATAAACATTTCGGGAGAAAGAAGTGTATGTAGAGCAAATGATATACCACAATCCATAAAACAACATTTATCTTGTATAATTGAAGACGATAAACTAGTTTCAGGTATAGAATCAACTATTGTCGACTTAACCACAGATGAAATTAAGGTCCTAAGGAAAGGTTCACAGGCTATAAATAACGCTATTCAAACCTGCGTATGGAAAAGTTAGTAGGGCATAATCAAGCCAGAGAGAAGTTAATGGATAACTTATCTATTCAATCTTGGATAGTTTGTGGTAAAAGAGGTATAGGAAAAGCAACACTTGTAAAATCCTTTGCTCATTGGCTACTCATAAAGAACTGCGATTTAGTAACACTAGACTTACACATAGTTGAAGGTGATACAGTAGGAATAGATAAAATTAGAGAAATGAAAAATTTTCTGCATTTAAGCTCTATCCAATCAAAGTACAAGATAGCCATAATAGATAGTTTAGAAGCAATGACTGATAATGCTAAAAATGCGGTGCTAAAAATATTAGAAGAGCCACCAAAAAATTCCAAAATATTTATAATTAGCCATAAACCACACAATATACAAATTACTATCAAGTGTAGGTGTTTTCTATTAAATTTATTACCTCTAACTTATGGTGAAACAAAGCAAGTTGTTTGTTCTCAATATAAACTTGATGACAAGATATTTGATGAAATGGTTACTATATTTCCTGGGGCACCTGGAATGATAATAAATGCGATAAATAGCAACATATATGAACTATATAGACATTTTTATACACTGTTACATAGTTTTAACAATCCTGAAATAATCGATAAAATAATTAACAGTAGTGTTGACTTGGAGATTGCATCTTATATCATAAGGACTCTTATTCTTAAGAGAATCAAAAAGAATACAGATAGTGTTGAAGTTTTACTTAGCAAGTGGAAAAAGGTAGATGAACTTCTTATTGCTGCAGGGCAACTTCACTTAGATAAAAAACATGTACTAGCTAATATAATAAACATTGTAATATTAGCTCCCCTGTAAAGCGCGTGAGTTGTCCGATAAATAGGTAAATTCCCAATTCAAAAGTTGTTAAAACACGAGCCCCCCTGCGAAACAACTTGAAGAGAGTTGCTCAGGTTGTGGTTCCTTACCGGATTTTATCAGCAACTCTCTTTATGTTGTTTCGCAGGGGGGCTATAATCGGGAGCTGGCATCGTTCAGGATGCAAGTGGAAAATAAGATCCGCAAGATCAAAAATTATATCAAATGTTTACCACAATTTTCAGCAACATGAGATTTAATATTATTGCTGGTACTATGAATCTGAGGCATAGGTTTTAATAGCTTTTGGGTTCTTACAGGATTTTATGGGGGCTAGGGAATGTTCA